ATTTTTTTTATTTTTTTATTTTAATTATGACATGAAAGTGATTAAATTATGACATTTGTGGTATTAACACCACAAATGACGTAACTTACATATGGTACACACTCTAAAAAAAAGTGTATACTGTAGAATATATTCTCTCCACTAACACACATATTTATACACAAAAATAATAATAAAATAATAAATAAATTACACTGAACTCCCTTGAGATTTAGAGAAAATACAAGTCCTATTATTTTGGCATAATTACATTGACTTCCCTTCATATTTTAATTCACATATTATTTCGCTTCATTTTCGTTAATAATTTATTACTCATATAGATAGAAAAATAATCACCTTGTTTGGTTGAATCATCTTTTCTAAAATTTGAGTTTTTTTATTTTCTGTGTTTTTTTTTTTACTAATTTTTTTAATATTTTAAGTAATTTTTTTAGTTTTTAGATACATCTAATATAAATATATTTAAAAGATATAATATTTATAAAAAAAAATCTTTAAAAAATTCACTAAATACCATAGATATAAAAAAAATACAAAAATTCAGTATATTTTATATTTTTGTGTATTTATTGATTTTTTAAAAATATTTTATTTTTTTTAGATACATCTAAATGAGGTACATCTAAACAGTAAAAAAATTTAATTAAAATATTAAAAAAAATACTAAAAACAAAAAACAAAAATATGAAAAACAAAAACTCAATTTTTAGAAGATTTGAGTTCAAAAACTGATTTTACTAAAAGAGAGATCAATATAATAAAATTGTGAAGTTTGATGTATTTATTCTAAAACTCAAATTAGATGTGCAAAAAATATTGAAAAAAAAACATGCTCATTTTTATATGTTTATCTTATTTTTCATTTTTTATGCAGATGAAAATTAATATTATTATCCATACTTTATTTTAAAAAATTTTATTATTATATATGCTGGCTTTGCTATCTTTAATCCGTGCGCAAAAATTGTTGAAAAATACACAAACATAGGATTGTTTTTGAAAGTTGGTTAAATGCTAATTTTTGGACTTTTTTTGATTTTTTTGAAAAAATATGCAAAAAAGTAAAGAGATAATATGATCTAAAATAAGTTAAAAGTTAACTTTTGGCTTTTATCCAAATTCCCAAATTGAGCCACAGCGGAAGCTTTGATTACAAATTGTTGTAAAATAACGAAAAAACTCTAATCCCACTATTGGTGAGAGGAAACTCTTAGACTTCTTGTGATTAAGGCTGCAAACGAACCGAGCCGAGCCAAGCTTTGCTGAGCTCGAGCTCGACTTGTTTATTTATCGAGTTTGTTTATTGAGCTCGAGCTCGGCTCGATAAGGAACTCGGTTCGAATTCGGCTCGTTAATATTAATGAAACTCAAGCTTGACTCGATAATTTTTTTAATATTATTTATATTATTTAAATAAAAATATTATCTAAATATATATTTATATATTATTTAATATATAAATAATATATTTATTATATAATTTAAATAAAAATAAACGAGCCGAGCTTGACAAGTAGAGTATATTCAAGCTCGAGCTCGGTTCATCTACTAAATGAGCTTAATATTTGAACTGAGCTTGTTTATGAACAGTTTGGTTCATTTGCAGTCCTACTTGCCCATCAAAGTAGGAGATTTAGAAACTATTGGCAGCTCTACTCGTGGCAGTTCAAATAATTAGCATCCGACTTTTTGAGGTTGGTGACTTTTTTATTCACAAAAAAATAAAATAGATTAAAAAATCAATAAGACAAAATGTCATATTCAAACCATAATCATTTTATTTTTTCTCTCACAAAAGTTTAAAAAAATCAATCCAAACAAACTTTTTAGCTAGGACTAAAATAGTTAAAAATCCAAAAAATTAACCTAACTTTCCAAACCAACCCAAAGACAGAAATATAGGGTTGCTTCACTCACAACGCAACACACAACATATTATATTTTTTATTTTTTTATTTTAGCATTGCTATTTAAAACTAAAAATTAAACTTAATTTTCAAACTAAGTAGTGTATCAATCAATTAAGATATTAAAGGCAATATTTTTTCTCATATATTCTCTAATTATCAACTAATCATATCATTTATATATCATTTAGATCTAAAAAATGGGTCTAGAAAGTAACTTTATACTCTATCATTTTCCTTTTCTTTTATTACATAAAACAACACAGAAAAAAAACACACTCAAATTTTATTCTGATGTCTCTCTTATTTTTTCCACAACTCCCACAATGAAGAGAAATTGCCACTCTCCCTCCTTGGAGAGAAACTCTCATTTTCCCTCATTTTGAACACTCTAATACAATGCATATATATAGATAAACCTAACAATCTGAACACACAATGTAACTACAACACAGTTTTCATTTGAGTTCTCTAGTTTCCAAACCCACAACAAACATGAAGCTGTTCTTCACAGCCTCTAGCTAAGCTTCTTGACTTCTTTTTCTAGAAACAACCTTAAAGGGCAATTCTAATATACACCCTTTTAAAAAGGGTATCATATGTACCCCTAATTATGGCATTTTTCTTTTAGTTACGGCCAATTTTTTTCTTTAATTATGACATTATTTTATTTATAACTCATAAATTATTTAATTATGCCTCATGTTATATTTTAGTTATAACATTTTTTCTTTTCTTAGTTATGACTTAAAAATTGAAATTATGTCTTCTTTTTTCTAGTTATAAGGTGCATATAAGGGTGTACACCATAATGTTTCTCATGCTTAATTCACAATAAAAAAGATTGAGTTCCTGTGTACCTCGTTAGAAAAAAATCTAGCAACAAAAATATTAGAATAAGTTATATTTTGTGCGTCTATATTTTACACTGAATTTTACTTTACTACTTAACTTTTTAACTGTCTCAATCAAAAATAATAATAAAACAATTCCTACTATTTTGACATAATTACATTGAATTCTCTTAAAATTTTAATTCACATAGCATTTCATCCCATTTTTATTAATAATTCGTTACGCATATGGATAGAAATTTGATATTATTATTTCATTTACAAGGATATATATAATTTTTGTTTATCCATATGTTTTTATACTATTTATATTATTTTGACCTTTTTAATTTTACTAAAAGCGATGTCAATATAATTATGCTAAAACTGCACTTCAAATTAGATCAATGTAATTTATAGTAAAATAAAATAAAGAGGGAATTTCAATTCATTGTAGTGTTTTAAAAAATATATATATATATATATATATGGTAAATTTTATATATATTAATAATTAAAAACATAAATTTTTTCATAATTTTGTAACAATTTTCTGGTAAGCCCTTGATAAGTAATTTCTACCAAAATAAACTAGGGTTTTTTTTTAAGGTCCCTTATATTATGATTTTATAACATAAAGGACATCTAATATTTTCATAATGTCTAAGGTCCCTTAAGTTGATCCAGAGAAAATTGGTCCAGAGAAAATTAGTCCAGAGAAAATTCACGTCACAGAGAAAATTGGTCCAGAGAAATTCTGGACCAACCCAGAGAAAATTCAGTTCAAAAACTAGAGAAATTCTCTGGTTTCAACCTAGAAAATTCAGTTCAAATGAAAAAAAAATTCAGTTCACAATTTGAAACCTGGAATGCTTAATTTGAAACCCAGAGAATTTCCCCAACCCCGAGAAATTCCCAGACAAACCTTTCTACAGAAATTCTCTCAACTCCTCTGGACTCCACAACCCAGAGAAATTCTCAAAAAATACAGAAAAGACACACAGAGAGAATTTCTAGAGAGTGCACCATATGAGGGTATATGCATACAGGCCTGTGTAGTTTTTTCTTTTTAAATATGACTTTTAGTTCAGTGCCATATTCATTGACATTACCAATTATGTGTCTAGCAATTTGTTCCCTTAGCTTATCTTGCTCAGCCTTCACTTCTCAAGATTACATGATGCCCTTGGAAAATCTATTCTCTTCTTTGAGGGTCAGCGGTCTGGCAAATTACCTCCTGACCAGCGGCTCAAATGGAGGGTCGATTCTGGCCTGTCCTTGATTCGCTGGAGTGAGCAACACGATGATCATGAGATCGAGATCAATGAGAGCAAACAGAGATCTCTCTGCGTGACGATCTCTTCGACGGCGAACTTGGCAATGACGACGGCCAGCGGCGGACTGGCTCCTCCGAATCAGTGTTGGACAGGAGGCAGTGGGAGAAGGAGAGGCAGGCTGGGTTGCGGATCCGGGCGGCGCGGAGGTCTACAACGGTAGCAGAGCGGGGGGAGGAGTCGGAGGAGAAGGTGTTGAGGAAGAGGTCGTAGAGGAGGGTGGAGGAGCACAGCTTGTTGCCAAGGTGGACATTTCGCAACATGCTGATCATGAGATCGAGATCAATGAGAGCAAACAGAGATCTCTCTGCGTGACGATCTCTTCGACGGCGAACTTGGCAATGACGACGGCCGGCGGCGGACTGGCTCCTCCGAATCAGTGTTGGACAGGAGGCAGTGGGAGAAGGAGAGGCAGGCTGGGTTGCGGATCCGGGCGGCGCGGAGGTCTACAACGGTAGCAGAGCGGAGGGAGGAGTCGGAGGAGAAGGTGTTGAGGAAGAGGTCGTAGAGGAGGGTGGAGGAGCACAGCTTGTTGCCAAGGTGGACATTTCTCCATAATGTCAAGTAACTTGGATCTGGAAAACAGTGGGTGAGAGGAGAAGAGAGAGAGAGAGAGAGTAGAGTAGAGACAAAGAGTCAAATTTCTCTGATATATATTTAGGGACCTTAGACATCAAAAAATAATTTTGTGGATCTCTTTCCTTACGAAAAGTGGGAGAGAGACCCTAGACTAATTTTCCCAATAAACTAATTGTTTTATGAAGCACGTTTTACCATACCATATATTGCAGTAGAAAACTTGCTTCATAATCACTGCGCCCTTTTTATTTTATTTTATTTGTTTAAATTTTAATTTTGGAATATTTGTTTTGTTTGTTGTTTACATACAGGGGGGTTGTAGTAGTAGGTGGAGAAGACACACCATGGATGAAGAGGCACTTAAAAGAATCTCATCTTCTATCAAGAAAGAGCTTGCTACACTATCTTATACACGGCCTTCTAATGATACATTTCCTTCTGATCTTAAGTTTTATAATTTGTGGGACAATGATCTGTGTGAGTACGGGGAAAGGTACCTGTATTGGGTTCTCAACAGACTTGATGGGACAAGTGTAGTAGATAAATTCGTCATGGCCTTAATTGGAAATACAAATTTGTTAGAAAGAGCCTCCCAATTTTATCATATTGAAGGGCGTTTTCGTTGGGATGTGTTTTTGAGACAGAGGCTTGTTGAAAGTTGCTTCGTCATTGAGTTATTTCGCAAGTATGCCATGAAGGAACTGAGAGAGGTGGATGACCCTATCTTCAATAGGCCACAAAATCTACTTGTGGTGCAGCATTATTTAATTTCGAATGATAGCTTTCCATTCTTTGTCCTAGTTGAATTCTTCAACGTGACTAAGAATCAAGATGATCCACGAGACAACTTCATTGATTTAGTCCTACTTTTTTTCGAAAATTTGGTAGGTCATCCTTTGAAACCATCACCTAATAACCCAATTCAAATTGATGAGAGCAAACCACTAGTCGACCTGGTACATAAAGCTTTGTCTGATCCCGTAGCTGCTGAGATGTCAATTACTATGGAAACGGATATAGAATTTCACTTCATAAATTATGCAACAGAACTCCAAGAGGCTGGGGTTAAGTTCAAGAGAATGAAAGGAAATAACCGGGAAATTAAGTTCCAAAATGGTGTATTGGAAATCCCACCTATAAAAGTTGCAAAAAGCACCACACTGTTTCTCCTTCAAAGGCTAATGGAATACGAGCAGGGGCGCTGGTTTCCAGATTCTGCTCCCAGATATGTCAATGACTACGTAAAATTCATACAATGTCTCATAAATTCCCCAAAGGATGTGGAACTGCTTCGCCGTAGCAGAATCATCGAGAATTGGCTGGGAAATGACCAACTGATCTTCGACGAGCTTATCAACTTGGGCAACAAATCCAAAATATCGCTTAACTTCACTTACTCTGGAATTTTCAAGAAAGTGAATGATCATTGTGGGCGTCGTCGAAACGTATGGATGGCCAACTTATGGAGGAATTATTTCAATAGTCCATGGTCATTTATTTCGTTTCTTGCTGCTGTTGAATTGCTTCTTCTCACCCTCACACAGACTGTTTTTTCCATTCTCTCTTCTCATCCTAGTGAGGTTACACTGTAGCCTCATGTCCCTTGTGTTTTTCTCTAAGGTTGTGTTTGTATTATAAATTTAGCTAGAAATTTGAAAAACTCACATTTCCCTTTGCCTTTCCAAATTTACTACTTAAATTCATCATTCAAACATAGCCTAAATCACGTTTTAATACGTCCTAATGAATAACCAATGAACTGGTTGGTCGGTTGTCAAGAAAATTCAGAAACAAAATTAACTTTGTTGTGTGTGTAATGTTATTTTTTCAAGTATTTGGGTTCGAATGTAGAGTCCGTAATCCACTTAGTTATTTTTTTCTATTTGTTTGAAGCCTGAATCACCTAGCTATATGGCATTTTAACACTTGATTCATAGAATAGAATAACTCCTTCAAACTAACCACGCATGCGACTATTAGGACAGTAATATAAAGATTAACACATAATCAAACGCATGTGACTATTAGGACAGTAACATAAAGATTAACACATAATCAAATCAAATGTGACTTTGACGACACTTCATCTTGTAGATTCACTGAGCAGTCTACCAGCAAATTGCTTGTCCCTAGTCTTAGAATTGGTGAAGTACATAAGTTTAAGCCACCAGAAAATTATCAGAAATGGTTTTCATCATTAGTCCTTATTGTTGGGATTTATTTCATATCCCCAAACGCAAACAGAAGCAAGCACAATCACACGAACACAAAGATTTATGGGTTTGACACGAACACAAAGATTTATGGGTTTGATACAAACCTGCTTGCGTTCACAAATGAGAGATAATCCATTATAAACTGTAGGGAATTAAACCATGGCCACTTCACTTACTCTAAAATTCTCACAAATGTGAATGAGCATTGTAGGCATCGTCAGAATGTTTGGATGGCAAACTTAAGGAGGAATTATTTCAACAAACAATCCATCGTCATTTCTTTCACTTCTTGCGGTCGTACTGCTCTTACTCACTGTAACGCATACTACATTTGCCATTCTCTCTTATCATCCTCATCCTTAGGCAAATATGTAGACCTTAAAAATCTCGTTGGTTATTCTTTGAATCAGATGTATTTCAATTAATTATAAGATGTAATGAATAATCACTCAATCGGTTGTCAAATCTTGTCATTTGACAATAAAATTCAGAAAACAGAATATGTATCTTCACTTGAAGGGAGTTCATGTTTCCCCAAAATTAAAAAACCAAACCAAACAAGTATGGATTTTTACGACCCAACACAGGAAATTTGAATGGCCAGACTATTTTCACTCATGTTTACCCAAAATTAAATATAAACTAAAAAATAATTATAATTAAAATAAAACCAAAGCAAATAACAAAGAACATTACTTTTTCCTCAAAAAAAAAAAAAAACTACTTAATATTCCAACTGTAATACACCCAGACAGTACTTTTACATCTATTCAAATGCAAAATATAATGAAATACTGCATCCAATATCCGTTCAATCACTTGAGAAATTAAAAGGTCCGCGATGCAAAATATAATGAAACACTGCAACCAATATCTGTTCAATCACTTGAGAAATTAAAAGGTCCAAAAGGCGGACGCAAAAGATACCATCAGGCAACACCATCTGTAACAAATGAAGTGTGTTCTCTACACACTTCGGAAATGGAAAACCAATGCAAAGTTTTTAGAGTACTACTACAGATAAAAACACAAGGAGATGCAACAAATTCTACGTTCACCTATATGAATCTGCACGCTTTGGCTTGCTTTGAACAACAGCCTCAATCTTCTCCAGTACCATAGGTGTTAGTAATGGGATGACATCAACGGCCTTCATGTTCTCCTGAATCTGCATCAATGAAAAATCATGGCTTTTAATGTGGAGATATATATATATATATATATTAGCGACAAAAAGAAAAGACCAATGAAAATGAGACATTAATGAAGGCAGAGCATACATGCCACATGGTTTTGTGACACATTGCAAGATCAACCTTAAATATGATTTTTTTTTTTTTTTTTTTCAGCAAATGTTAGTTGTTAGTTGTTAGATTAGTACCTATGGGAGAAAATTTCTCCACCCTTGGCAAAGCACCTAAGTGCTTGCACTCCCTTAAATATGTCTTTGCATAATGCTTACATAGTAGATGTGTATCCCATAGCCATCCATATATATATATATATTGTTAGAATTTACCATCAACCATCACCTACCACCACCTACTACCACACCTACTACACCTACCGCCAATTTACCCTCACCTACTCCTCACCTACCACCACCTAACCTACATCTATATAATCAATCAATTGTAACAGAATCAAATCATCAATCAATAAATACATCTATTTTTACATGGTATCAGAGCAATAAGATTTAGGCCTATATGTTTTTTTTTCCGGCGGGCAGCCGGCCGGCAACCTTGCCTTCGCTGCCCGCTGGAGTTTTTCAACACATAGCCATGGCAACTCGCGCTGTTTGGGGATTCTTTACATCCACACATATCATGATAGGTGGCACTCTCTCCAACTTGAAACATCAGAGCAACAGATGGGCATTTGGTGCCATCCCCTTTTGAGTAGACATAGTCTCCATCAATTTGCAACATGAAGTAAACATCTTTCCCATCGTGCAAAGCCTTTACAATCATTTTTCCACCTTTGTACTCGTGATTTGGATGTGGGTCTAGAGCAGGGAGGAGAGAGAACTCGAACCCAACAACGTTTTTCCAATCGTCGGCGTGTCCATCGAGAGTGACGAGTCCGGGGCTGAACTCGGCCGCACTTCGGGCCTCTGGGTCGGACTCGCAGCTCCAACGGCGAACACCGTGTGGAGTTCCTCCGCCGTGATCCGACCGTCGTGATCCCACCTTCACCTTCTCATCATTCGAAATACCGCAAAACTTGCTGATTCCATAGATGGGTGTGTAGCAGAGTACTTCAACAACAATGAAGATATCAACGTTAATGACAAAGATTTGGGAAAGAAATTGCAAGGTTACAAATGCGCCCTTAATTCCAAGGCAGCAGAGGCATCCATGGCGAATCTTGCAAGATGGGAGCCACCACACAAATAAATAGATTTTTTAAAAACAAACATAATCATCTCCTTTTATCCCCACTTTACCTTTTTTTTATTTTATTTTATCTTCTCTTTTTCTTTATCTTCCGGTACATGCTTTCACTATTACTATATTATATTATTATTATTATTATTATTATTCTTACACAATCAAACCATTAATCTATTATTATTCTATAGTTTTGAAGCCCACGGTTTTCCATTATTATTATTCTTCTTATAATTATTATTATTATTATTTTTTTTTAAAAAAAAAAAAAAAAAAAAAAAAAAACTTCCAGTTGATTTTTCTGCCTTACCACACCTACCATTCGAGTTTGCCAAACACACTTATTTTATTCATGTCAGGATCAACCCCGATCATAATTTTACACGAAAAAAAAAAAAAAAACCACCATAACACACCCAACACCCACAGTGGGATTTTTCTTCTCTACTCTGCTGCGGGTCGCTTCTTCTTGCCTCCATCCTGGGCGGCCCTTGCCGGTGTTGCCTCCGTGTTTTCCACTCCACTGGGCATGATCACTCCCCCATACTCTTCCACTGCCGCCTATGGCGGACCTCCAAATCGGAACATCACGGTGGCCTTCCGCTTCAGCTCCTTATTTTCTGCCTTCAGCACGCTTATCTCTGCTCGCGCATCCTTATACGTGCGTTGGAGCAGAGCCAGCTGGGAGTTTAAATGCTGCACCTCATTTGTCCTACTCTGCAGCCGGTTCGACAAATTGGTGACCGCCGTCATGCTTTCCACACATGCCTTCAAAGTATACTGATTGGCCTCCACATCCGACAGCACTGCCATTCTTTGCTCCACAGACCGCATCGGAAAGTTCAACGGAGTATACCCAGCGGTGTTTGGTTAAGGTTCACTGGCCACCGCACCAGTTCTCTCTCCTGTGGACTCGTTGAGGTCTGTTAGAATTTACCAATTTGCTCCTCCACCTACCATCTCCACTAGCACCCACTTCACCTACCACCTCCACTACAATACACCTACTACCACCTTCTCTTCTATATATAGGAGTTGTAATACATAACACAATATCAATCAATCTTGTAATAGATCAATCAATATATCAATCAATAATACATCATTTTTTAACATGGTATCAGAGCGGGTTTAGAACCTAGTATTTTCGCTTCCCCGACGGGCGGCAACCTCACCTTAGCCGCCCGCCGGACCTCAACCTAATTCGCTAGAATTTTTTTACACCTACCTTGAAATTTCTTCGAGTCCACCACCACTGCCCTTCCTCTCACTTGTCCTCCCATACACCACCGTCTCGGTCGTCTTCATCTACCACACACACTGCCGGCTGGAGTCCCTTCACTGCCGGCACCATCGCAGATTCTTCGGCATGAGATGCCGCCAATAAGCCCTCTTCCTCCACACAAGTTAGTTCTACAGCTAAGATACGAAGTGAAGTTCTTTCTCCCTTTCAGTCTGTGCGGATGTTCTTTTATCTAGCTTTTATTGCAAGTGCTACTATTGGGGGATTAATAGCCACCAACCAACTTATTGCTGCCTTGGCAAACTCATCGAAAGCAGCTCAAGTCCCTGACATCCTCATGGGTCTCGGCATAGATGTCCATTTTTTCTGGGCAACAGAGTGTTATAGAGAGTGTTACAGAGTATCTTCTCAGCAAAACCTCTCTTTCTCAGCAAAACGAAGAATTTTTCAGAGGTTTCTCTCAGTTTTTCTGTCTTAGTTTCTGCCTCCTCCGCTTCGGTTTATAAAGACCATGACACAGAGGCAGCCACGCGCATCGCGCGCCTTTTGACGCCGACAACCTGGCACGCCTTTTGATGGCACGCCTTTTCATGGCACGCCTTTTCATGGCACGCCTTTTGAGGATGCCACTTTTACAACGGTCCGACCTGACCCTATAAACTGTCCCGACATTTGATTCCGGTTAGCCTTTTACAACGGTCCGACATGACCCCATAAACTGTCCCGACATTGATTCCGGTTAGCATACAGTGTCCTCTACAACGTTATGACACCACCATACAGTGTCCTCTACAACGTTATGACACCACCCTACAGTGTCCTCTACACCGTTATGACACCACCATCCCGTGTCCTCTACAACGTTATGGCACACCCATCCAGTGTCCTCTACCACGTTATGACACCACCATCCAGTGTCCTCTACCACGTTATGGCACCACCTTTCAGTGTCTTCACCAACGGTCTGACACGACCATACAGTGTCTTCTATCTTTTTTCAGTGTCCTCTACCACGTTATGACACCACCATCCAGTGTCCTCTACCACGTTATGGCACCACCTTTCAGTGTCTTCACCAACGGTCTGACACAACCATACAATGTCTTCTATCTTTTTTTTATTTTTATGTATTTTCTTGTTTTGTTCCTCTCTTCAAACTCAAGTTGGTTCGTTTCTATCCTCCTTGAGTTTGCGGGGGGCTGTTAGAATTTACCATCAACCATCACCTACCACCACCTACTACCACACCTACTACACCTACCGCCAATTTACCCTCACCTACTCCTCACCTACCACCACCTAACCTACATCTATATAATCAATCAATTGTAACAGAATCAAATCATCAATCAATAAATACATCTATTTTTACATATATATATATATTTATTTTTAAAAAGAAAAGACAAATCAGAAAATTTGATGACACTAAAATTGGATTTAAACAGTTAAACAAGCAAGTAAACTTGTATACAATACTATTGCATATAACATATAACATGTAAAGAATAAAAAAAAAATGTACAAGGACAATAAAAACAATGTAGATTTGATATCAAAATGAAATTTGTGTAGGACTAAAAAAACATAAAGTGGTTGGCCATTGGCTCAAAGAATGGTTTGAGTTTATATATAATACAATACTAAAAATTATACATATATATTTTACGAATGTATATTGGCTGTACCCGTATCCTAATTTTTAAGTCTTTTCTCTATTTTTCATTTCTTAGTTTAGAACAAAATTTATTTCATTAACACAAACAATTTATGAGGAAAAAAATGCTGAAAGAAGGACAAAACTTCACAAGTGAAATCCATTTGCAAAAGCATGAGCTCTGAAATACAAAACCAACCTATGTAGAGAAAATCAAAAGAAAATCAAATAAAAACAAAACAAAACCACAGAACCCCAGAATTGCACCCTTGAGACAAAACTGACCTGAGACTCTTTTGTAGCACCAGTAATAACGGATGAGACATTAGGGTTTGTAGCACACCACGCGATTGCAAGTTGAGATAAAGGCACGCCTAGTTCGTCTGCAATTGGTTTCAATCCATTAACCTTTTTCAGCACATCCTCCACCAACGATCTGCTAGCAAGATTCTACCATAAAAAAAGATAAAAATCAGATATATGAAAAGACAAAAATAAAATAATATAAAGATGCTGGTGAGCCGCCACAAGTTAGAAGTATGAAAATGTCAAATCATCAACTACACAACTAGCTTACAGTAGATGCCCATATCAGGATGTTCCACATAATCCAGTAATCCTATTTGCAGTTCTCAGCACTCAGAACCGTGAAAAGAAAATTAAAAAACAGAAAAGAAAATGCAAAATTCAACTATGCTACTGGTAAATAATAAGGAATAGGAGGCAATGATGGTTACAGAATCAACCTATACACCAAGACACAGATAACACCTTAAACCCCATCACAAATCAATCATTAAGTAAATTGGAGGGCTTATCCAGACCAATTCAACTTGCATGTTCAATAGTCTGAAAAAAATGCATGGGTTGTAAGATCAACTTTGCATAAAACTGCTCTGCTTGGAGCAGAAAAGAGATATGAAAACTAGACTAGGACTTTTGTATAGATGCTGACAATCAATGTCCCCAAATGGTGGATGTAAGCCACCAAGTCCCCCAACTTCTCTGATTTTCTGGCTTTGATTTCATTTCCCAAACCAAGTTGGTGATAAATTCTGAAATTTGAAGATTTAGAAGGAAAAGAAAACTAAATCAAATTGTTATTTTTAAATGGTTAGTTTCAACTTTTTTGTGTCATATCCTAAAAGGATGCTTGTGATTGGAACATTGCATTAAAGTGAAAATTAAGGAGAAAACCAAAAAGAATGAGATTCTACCATGTAAAGGGTGATACAAACGAAGAACGAGACCCAGTGAAATATAGCAGTGCTCAACAGAAAAAGAGGGGCGGAAAGAGAGTGCTGTCCGTTCTCTCACAACCTAGTTTATCTACTCAATGAAAACTGGGATTACTATTCCATGTAACAGAAATTAATGTAGCATTGCATATGCCAACATATCTTCACAAAAGAATCTATGCATCCATATATTTCACATAAAAAATACTTAGCCACCCACAGATGAATGTCTTCATGTTTTTATTTTAATAAAGCAAGATAACCAAGATAAAAGATGAATTATGCAGAGAGCACATTCACCAAAAATTACAGGAGACTCGAGTGCAAATTTAACTAAGCCAAATATAAATTATGATAAAACTATAAATAAATAGGTACTTCAGCAAACAAAATTGTAACTTCCAAATAGGTTTACCTTGTAATTTTCCAATGCAAACCGACTATCAGGTGGAATGGTTCCAGAGTTATATTTTCCAGTCAAAACTCCTGATGCAAGTGGACTCCAAGTGGTAAGACCTAGACCATAGTTAGTGTACAGAGGGAGGTACTCAGACTCAACCTGCAGTATGGCAAAAATATGTCAGAATTATAGCCAAGTAATATGTATAATCAACCAAATCAAAATCCCCAAAATTAGAGGCAAAATATGCAGCGATAACTGCAAAAAGGAACATTATAGTGAGTCAAAAGCACCAATGACCAGAAGGACTATATCATGCAATAACAGGGGAACAAATGAAAAAATGAGAAGCAGAAACAAATGTCCCTGTTCAAGCTATAGAAACTCAAAAAACTTATGGTCAATAACTTGTAAAGTTGGAAGCCAGTGTCATCCTACACTGAGATCATCCACCAATGCAAGCCGTTTATCTTCCCAGACGCTTCTTTTAATCATTTTTTTCTTTTAAAAATTAACTTTTGAAAGCAAGTGCACTAGGTGGGAGCTCATATGCTCACCATGGACTATTTTGGACAAATTAAAAAGAATGCGACATATACACCAAGTCTGGCCTTCCTTTCATATTTAGTACAGACAGATATAGATAATAGTATAGATAGATAGATATAGATCAGTCTTCCCTTTATAATAGTATAGATAGACAGAAGATAGATAACTAGAGGTGGGCGCACACACTACTTGTGTGTCACAACAGTTATTTGAAGTAATTGAATTTGATAATCTATATCACATGGACTCGGGTAAGGGTAGGGGCACGGGTATGTTTCTAGAAGTCGGACTCATCAAACCATAAATGTAAAGGTACGTAAACTCGGCAAAAAAATGTCATATTTTTATATTTTTAATCAAATATGTGAGATAAAATAGTACATATAACTTACAGTGTCAAAAAGATAATTATAACAATTATACAACTGAGAGGGAGATTTATAATGTGCCTTTGGGCCGTGGTAGAGGCCGGGCAGAGAGAGGTCCGAGCATGTTTGGGCCGAGCTAACGTGGGCCTGTCCAGAGTTGGTTTGCTCGGTCGAGGCCCAAGTCCCATGTTTGGGCCGAGGTGATTGTCTGTCGACCCTGGTTTCACGGTTCGCACATTTAGCTCAGCGAGAGAGGCCTTCTGAAGACCGGCTTAACCTGCCTGGAGCTCAGTCGTACCGGAACGCTACTAAGCTCGGTTGTGGTGGAGCTCGGCGAGTGGTGCCGTCGAACTCATTACATAGCCCGGTCATATGAGTCCGAGGTGACGTCACCGAGCTGCCTCGTTCCTAGTAATGTTGTCTAGCGGTTTGAGTTGGTGGTGTTTAGCTAGATTTGCGCTGACGGATGGGAGAGCAGCTCCACGTATCAATAAGCAAATGGATGCAGAGGTGAGCACAGAAAGTATACAAGCATGACTGCGCCCCCCATGCTGGGGATGGAACATCATTTTGGTGAGAGAAACCTAAACATTCATTCAACTCTCTTCCTCTCTCTCTCTATCTCTGAGTGTGTGCTAACTTGACCGTCGGAGGGGTTTTCCGGCAACACACCGCCAAGTAGCTCACCGCCGTTGCGTTCGCAGGTTGATCGGATAGAAGCGAAGCTTGGACGGAAGGAATACGGGCGTTGTCGAATATTTGCTCCCCGTACAATTGGCGCCGTCTGTGGGAATGCGGTCAACCTCAAACTGTACTATTTTTAGTATTTATCGTTCTTATGTAATTTTTTGTAGAAAGACCTGTTTTCCTTACACTTCTGAAAATGTAATACTCTTTTTGCCAATGTAATAGAAGTGAATTATTTTTGTTGAAGAGGTTTGCTATGTTCGAAGTAATATAATGACTGAGGGGCATACTTAAGTGTTTCAGCCGAGATGATTTACCCCGGCTGCAAGAGTTGGTGATCTGCCTAACTCAGGTGTTTTTAGCTGAGATGATTTACCCCGGCTGCAAGAGTTGGTGATCTGCCCAACTCAACTGTTTTAGCCGAGATGATTTACCCTGGCTGCAAGAGTTAGTGATCTGCCCAACTCAACTGTTTTAGCCGAGATGATTTACCCCGGCTGCAAAAGTTGGTGATCTGCCTAACTCAGGTGTTTTTAGCCGAGATGATTTACCCCAGCTGCAAGAGTTGGTGATCTGCCCAACTCAGGTGTTTTTAGTCGAGATGATTTACCCCGACTGCAAGAGTTGGTGATCTTCCCAACTCAAGTGTTTTAGCCGAGATGATTTACACCGACTAAAGGAGTTGGTGATTTGCCCAACTCCAAGGCTCTAACCGAGATGAGTTACCCCGGCTAAAAGGGTTGATGATTTTTTCAACCCCAGAATTTTAGCCGAGATGTGACCGAGATAATCTTCTCGGCTCTATGAAGAATAGCGCGGTTAAAACGAAAACTACAGCAGACATTGCAAAAGTAAGTGCAAAATAACAACTTTTCATTGATGGAAAAATTGGGTACATATGGTGGGGCTTGTAGCCCGGTTACAAAAATTCAGACAAAAATCAAAAGAGACGAGCCTAAACTAAGCTAGCGGCGAGAGATCGTCAAACTCATTACTAGTTCCTTCTGTCGCAACCTCCAAGTCAACCACGGTAGCCTTCTCCTTCTCGTCGAGCTCCGGTTGGCTACCCTCTTCCTCAGCTTCTTTGTCTGCCTCCTCTTGCAAGGCATTGAAGACTTCATTGGCATAAGGAATTAGGTAGACCGACAGGAAGGCCGGGGGAGGAGAAGCAAATACCTCAGTCTCCAATCCTTGGCCGAGTTTTTCGCAAGCAGCCTTCCAACCGGACTTGAAATAAATGTCCTTAGTGGTTTCGACCTGCTTGGAGTAGTTGTCCTCGGCCTCCTGGAAACCGATATTGTTGGCCTCGTCCACGGCAGCCTTCCTCCCTTCTTTCTCGGCCGCGAGTTGGGCTTTTAGTTCGTCCCTTTCTTGCTTGGCCTAGCCAAGTTGGCCAAGGAGTCTTGCATTGTCAGCATTGGCTATCTCAAGTGAAGCCTTAGACCGGCCCAACTCGGTTTCAAGATTCTTGGCCTAGTTGTTGGCATCGGTCACCTTTTGCCGAAGCTTGTGAATCCGGTCCATCACGAGATGTTGCTTCCGCAAGCAGCCTTCCAACCGGACTTGAAATAAATGTCCTTAGTGGCTTCGACCTGCTTGGAGTAGTTGCCCTCGGCCTCCTGGAAACCGATATTGTTGGCCTCGTCCACGACAGCCTTCCTCCCTTCTTTCTCGGCCGCGAGTTGGGCTTTCAGTTCGTCCCTTTCTTGCTTGGCCCGGCCAAGTTGGCCAAGGAGTCTTGCATTGTCAGCATTGGCTATCTCAAGTGAAGCCTTAGACCGGCCCAACTCGGTTTCAAGATTCTTGGCCTAGTTGTTGGCATCGGTCACCTTTTGCCGAAGCTTGTGAATCCGGTCCATCACGAGATGTTGCTTCTGGATAGCCTATAAGAGGACGTGTTAGAGATCAAATCAGAAGAGTAACCGTGGAAACACTTGATAAATTTGAATAGATGTACAGAGCTCTTACCCTGGTCATAGATTTAACCGAGGACTTGACAAGCCGGGTGTCGGGAACGTGCTCACTGCCGGCCAAGTCGCTTGGCAGGAGAAGTGTTTTTGTCAGGTCAAAAGCCAGAAGGTGTTCTTTATCACCTTTGACCGAAGCGTTAGCCGGGATCTCTTTTCCCCGATGCTTCAACTGTGGGTGCCATGGCAGAGTTGGTTCGGATCCCTCCGCCGGTTGCTCGGTGCTTAACTCGGCAACAAGCTCGGCAGTAGGGTCGGCGGACCGAGGCCTTTTTCCTACTCAGCGGCTTTCCTTGCTGGCCTGTGCCGAAGTGGTCGACACCAAGGCAATGACGGCCTCAAATGTTAGTCCGGCTTTTGAGGTGCGAGGTGGGATGCTCGGTAGCTCGGTAGATGTGGCGGTGATGAGATTTTTTATGCGGCTTTATTTGGCCATCTCCTCTTCTTCGGTCAGCCGAATTTGGGGCACGTCCTGTAGCATTGGATCAGGTGGTGCAGATAGTGCTCAGAAAAAGTCTGTAACTCTACTCCGGTGGGGAGCGATGTATCTGTAGCTCGGTACGTAGCCGAGAAGTTCGTGGCAATCTCGGTTACGATACCGTAGTACGGTTCTGATGGCAGCCTCGTTGGGGTTGTAGTAGTTTGCTTGCAAGGCTTCGATAACTGCAAAGAGGAACAGAAGAAAAGGCATTAGTACAGAACAATGAAGGAAAATAATTTGACTAAGCAATGAGCACGGCTTACATGTCAAACCGAAGTTCTTGCTGATGTACCAGCAGGGCACGTCGGCTGTTTCATAGTTTCCAGACACCCAGAAAAAGTCATCGTCTTGCATATCTTTATCTGGGGTGCCGGTTACAATCTTCTCCTTGCCCGGCCTAATCTTTAAGTAGTAGTTAAGTCCATCGCCTATATGCCCGAGGGTGTACTGGCATAGTATCTCGGCTAATCCCAAGTTCAGGCCTAGCCGGTTGTTCAACTCGGCTATCCCGTTTATTATTCTGTAGGTATTGGTTGAAACTTGTGTTGGTGCTGGCCCGATGCACTTCAGGAACTCGCACATTAGAGGATTAACCGGGAAACGAAGGCCGCCTTCGATAATGGAAAGCACGGTGAAAGGGCGTTGGTCTAGTCTGCCCTAAGGGGTTGTGTCCTCGGCATCGAGCTCGAGATGTACGTCTGCGGGGACGCCGTATTCTTCCCGAAACGCTGCTAGTGCGACCGGCGTGTCAACCAGGAAGCGGCAACGCCCCATGTGAAGTCGGCTGGTTTTAGCACGGCTGTGTTGGTTTGGCAAACTTTCGTTTGATGGTTGCTCGGCCTTTGAGAGCCTCAGTGTTGGTGCTTAGTCCCCTTGGACTCAGCAGTAAAGAAAGTGTAAGTGTAAGTGTAAGTGGAAACGCGGTCGCGCAAAACGAGCTCGACTTTAGCTCGGTCAGATGGAGTGCCAGGCCATCTCAATCACAGAGGTAAACCCAGAAGCTCGCCGCTCAAGCGGACCAGATATTAGCCCGGTCGAGCGGTCCAACACTCGGTTACGTCGGTTCCTACACGAGTTTTGCAAACTCGCAACTTGCTCGGTTTTGGTGTTTTTTGGGATCAAAAGAAGACCTGGAGCCCGGTCCGCCCCAGATCCTCGCGTGTCCATCACTGAAGTTGAAGAACAGTAGAGAGAGAAGGGGCAGAGGTGGTTTTTGGGGAGCTACATCCTAAAACCTATGGCTATCGTGCCCTAAAATGTGAGTATCAAATGAAAAAAAATGAAGAGATTCGAAGAACTTACCAGTTTGGGGGCGAAGGTCGAATCTTCGAGCACGAAGACAGTCCAAGGCAAGAATGGTGTTTGATAGAGAGGATGGCACGTTGGGTCGTCTGGAATGGAAGAGAAGCAGTAAGAAAGAAATGTGAAGGGCAAGTGACGTGCTTATAGGAGAAAAAAAACCGCTAAAATTCAAATGTGAAGAGGCGGCGGGGTTGGCTGTACGAGGCCAATGAGCGAAGGACGCGTGTCCCTATTGACGACAGCGTCAGTACTGAAGAGACAGGATGGCGAGTTGAGGCGTCGACCGAGCAAGTCAAGAAACTGAGCATGGGGATTAGCTCGGCCAACGTCTTGCGGATTTAAGTAGGGCGGAGAATCGACCCCGGTCGGATCATGTAATCCTAGTCACGCTTGCACGGACGAAATTAAGGGGCAATTAAGAGGGAGATTTATAATGTGGCTTTGGGCCGTGGTAGAGGCCGAGCAGAGAGAGGTTCGAGTATGTTTAGGTTGAGCTAACGTAGGCCTGTCCAGAGTTGGTTTGCTCGGTCGAGGCCCAGGTCTCATGTTTGGGCCGAGCTAACTTGGCCGAGGTGATTGTCTGCCGACCCTGGTTTCACGGTTCGCACATTTAGCTCGGCAAGAGAGGCCTTCTGAGGACCGGCTTAACCTGCCTGGAGCTCAGTCGTACCGGAATGCTACTAAGCTCGATTGTGGTGGAGCTCGGTGAGTGGTGCCGTCGGACTCGTTACGTAGCCCGGTCATATGAGTCCGAGGTGACGTCGCCGGGCTGCGCCGTTCCTGGTAATGTTGTCTAGCGGTTTGAGTAGGTAGTGTTTAGCTGGATTTGCGCTGACGGATGGGAGAGCAGCTCCACGTGTCAATAAGCGAATGGATGCAGAGGTGAGCGCAGAAAGTATATAAGCATGACTGCGCCCCCCATGCTGGGGATGGAACATCATTTTGGTGAGAGAAACCTAAACATTCATTCAACTCTCTTCCTCTCTCTCTCTATCTCTGAGTGTATGCTAACTTGACCGTCGAAGGGGTTTTCCGACAACACACCGTCGGGTAGCTCACCGCCGTTGCATTCGCAAGTTGATCGGATAGAAGCGGAGCTTGGACGAAAGGAATACGGACATTGTCGAATATTTACTCCCCGTACAACAACAATATATATATATATATATATATATAATAATGTTATATACAATTATATAAGAAGTATCCTTTGAAAAAGTATCCGATGCATATCTCATACCCTTATCCGAGTGTCAGATATTTAATTTATCTTGAAGAGGGTAACATAGTTGATAAGTATGACAGTTATTTGAAGCTTTGGAGCAGTTATCATGTAATGGATATTTGGGGGGAAAAAATAGTGTACCATCCCCACCAAGAGAGGTGTTGGCTTTATAGATACCAAGTATAGATAGACACACACAAAAGAGAACATACCCAATTCCCACAAACACAAACACAAACCCATAAAAAAAATTAAAAAGATAAAAAAGCACAATTGGGAACATGATTTGGGGCTAAAATAATCACAAAAAATAAAATAACATATTTTAACCACAACAAACAAAACATCACATCCAATCCATAATCATTAAATTCTTTTTTCACAAAAAAAGCCAAAAAGTCTTTTTCAAACCAAACTTTTAGCTCAGGCTAAAATAACCAAAACAAAAACCAAAAAGCCGCTTCCCAAACAACACCAAAGTATGTACCAAACAATAAAGCGCATAGACAAAAGAGAACAATACCCATTTCACACAAACACAAACGCATAAAAAATAGCACAAACACAAACTATTTACCAAACACTTTAACAAGAAAATAAACCAAAAAAACAAATCTTTACCATCTGGGTATGCATGCCCTACTTACCTTATGCCTCGACAGCAAATTATATTCAGGCTGCTCCACAATCGGCCCAACAAGATCCAACCGCTCCGCAATCCCCCAAGCCTCCGTAATCTGCTGAGCAGACCACTCACTAGTCCCCCAATAAAACGCCCACCCATTATCGATCACATAGTTCATTGCCCTCACTGTCTCTTCGATCGGCGTCGACGAATCAGGACGATGACAATAGATCACATCCACATAGTCCATCTCAAGTCTCTTGAGCGAGGCTTTGGTGCCTTCGATGATGTGTTTTCTGGACAAGCCTTTGTCGTTGGGTCCAGACCCGCCCCAGAAGATCTTGGTGGACACGACGATGTCGGATCGCTTCCAACCCAGTTCGCGAATCGCCTGACCCATGATCTCCTCGGCTCGGCCGTTGGCGTAGACCTCGGCGTTGTCGAAGAAATTGACGCCGTTGTCTCTGCAGCATTGGAGGAGGGACTTGGCTTCCTTCACATCAAGCTGGTTCCCGAAGCTGACCCATGCGCCGTATGAGAGTTGGCTCACTTTGAGCCCTGATCGGCCCAGATTCCTGTACTGCATTTCGTGGGATGTGGTTTGCGGTGGTTGTGGCGGTGATGAGAGAGAGAGAGAGGAGTACAGTGAGAGAGTAGAGAGAGACTACATATAGAGAGGAGGAGAATCAGAAGACGGCATTTATTGTATTCAAGTTTTTTTTTTTTCATGTGGTTGGATGATAAAGATTGTGTGCATTCAGAATTATTTTGAACTTTGTTACAGTTGCCTTGCTGGCTCCATAAACCACTCTAGAGCTGAGTTCAGCCCTTCTCGGTACCGGTTCAACTCGATTTAATTTATTACGTAAATAAGATCAAGTTTGTCAACTCAAAAATAATTCATCTTTTATCTTTTTATTTTTTTTTCATCACATTATTCCTCTATTTTTTTGCACATTTTTTTATAAAAAGACAAAAATATATTTATTTAGATCTCCCAGAGTGCACTTATTCTGAAATTAGCTGAAATTAAAGACTCACTTAACAAGCAAGTCGAACTCAAAGTAAAATCAACTTCAGTTGTAGAATTTAGTTTTTCGTCTGTTATTTACTAAATAATAAGATGAATATATTATTTTGTATATTAAATAATGTAAAATATATTATAAGTATCTATATTTAATTTAGAATTGATATTTAACAAGTCAATCAAAATTGATTATCAAATAATTTTTTTTTAATTATCAAGTTTCAAATCAAGCTCTAGTATAAAATGGACACAATTTAATTTGGATTAATTTTCAAGTCGAATTTAAACATCATTTTTGAACTTAATAAATTCAGGAAAAATTATAATGCAGTGTAATTTTTTTAAAATAATTATAAATAGATGAAAAATGTTATGTTTTTAATTATTAAAATTGATAAGGTTTATTATTAATTTATAATTATTTTTGTACAATTATATGTAATTTTCCATAAATAAATGAGTTGAGGTGGGGGAGTACGGTAATGCAGTTGCTTCTTGCCACATTGGATACTACCTTCTCGTCCAGAATTCCTTTTCTTTTCCTTATTGTCAGCAGCCTTGCATAAATGGTTTTTTAATTGAAAAAAAAATGCTTATTTTTATTTTACATGGTTTTTAAAAAAATTTGGTCGAAATCTTTTGATCAAATTTTGAAAAAGTTCAATTAAAATAATTTTTCTCAACTTAAAAAAATAATAATCTAAGCACTTGACCTCTTGTACCAATGGCCCGTTTGGGAAGTAAATTTGAACTAAAATAAGTATATAAAATAAAATAAGTTATTTTAATTAAATAAGATTAAATGTCATAGTCAATTCATAATTATTTTATTTTTTTTCTCATAAAAATTTAAAAAGTCAAAAAACTTATCTCAAATGAAATTTTTTAATCCTAAATTATAATAATCAAAAAATTAAAAAGTCAAATCACCTCACAAATGAATTTTATGAAAACTAATTTTTTTAATTTGAGAAATGAATGAAAACAAAATAATAAGTCAAGGCATGATGTAAGTGATGACATTTTGATCAGAACCAAATGAGTTAAATAACTTTTAGTTATAAATATCTTTACGGTATAAAATTGCATGGATTTGTACCTGATTGATCACTAATTTATGGATTTGACCTTTCTAATCATGTGATTGATCACTAAAATAGATGTGAAAGCTAGATATATTAAAAGAATCTAATTTTGATAATTTAAATCGTTTATCTTATAGGCTAGATAGGTAGATTATTTATGAAAAAATTATTTCAACAATTATATTAACATTATTTTAATATATTTATCTTCAAATAAATAAAATAATATTATTATAAATATTATAAATAATTTATTTTTTCATAAATAATCTATACATAAGGACTCACAAATTTACAGCTTAATTGCTAGTGAACACCATTTATATATCTCTTTTTATATAAATTCATATAAAAATTGATGCACATTTTTTTATAAAAAGACAAAAAATATATTTATTTAGATCTCCCAAAGTGCACTTATTCTGAAATTAGCTGAAATTAAAGACTCACTTAACAAGCAAGTCGAACTCAAAGTAAAATTAACTTCAGTTGTAGAATTTAGTTTTTCGTCTGTTATTTACTAAATAATAAGATGAATATATTATTTTGTATATTAAATAATGTAAAATATATTATAAGTATCTATATTTAATTTAGAATTGATATTTAACAAGTCAATCAAAATTGATTATCAAATAATTTTTTTTTAATTATCAAGTTTCAAATCAAGCTCTAGTATAAAATGGACACAATTTAATTTGGATTAATTTTCAAGTAGAATTTAAACTTCATTTTTGAACTTAATAAATTCAGGAAAAATTATAATGCAGTGTAATTTTTTTAAAATAATTATAAATAGATGAAAAATGTTATGCTTTTAATTATTAAAATTGATAAGGTTTATTATTAATTTATAATTATTTTTGTACAATTATATGTGATTTTCCATAAATAAATGAGTTGAGGTGGGGGAGTATGGTAATGCAATTGCTTCTTGCCACGTTGGATACAACCTTCTCTTCCAGGATTCCTTTTCTTTTCCTTATAGTCAGCAGACTTGCACAAATGGTTTTTTAATTGAAAAAAAAAATGCTTATTTTTATTTTACATGGTTTTTTAAAATTTTTGGTCGAAATCTTTTGATCAAATTTTGAAAAAGTTCAATTAAAATAATTTTTCTCAAATTAAAAAAATAATAATCTAAGCACTTGACCTCTTGTACCAATGGCCCGTTTGAAAAGTAAACTTGGACTAAAATAGTCATATAAGCTAAAATAAATTATTTTAATTAAATCAGATAAAATGTCATATTCAATTTATAGTCAATCCATTTTTTTTCTCATAAAAATTAAAAAATCTATCACAAATAAAACTTTTTAACCTTAAGTTAAAATAATTAAAAAAAAATTTAAAAATCAATTCACACCCCAAACCAACTGAATGAAAACTAATTTTTTTAATTTGAGAAATGAATGAAAACAACATAATGCATGATGTAAGTGATGACATTTTGATCGGTACCAAATGAGTTAGAATAACTTTTAGTTTTAAATATCTTTACCGTATAAAATTGCATGGATTTGTACTTGATTGATCACTAATTTATGGATTTAACCTTTCTAATCATGTGATTGATCACTAAAATAGATGCGCAAGCTAGACATATTAAAAGAATTTAATTTTGATAATTTAAATCGTTTATCTTATAAACTATATAAGTAGATTATTTATGAAAAAATTATTTCAACAATTATATTAACATTATTTTAATATATTTATCTTCAAATAAATAAAATAATATTATTATAAATATTATAAATAATTTATTTTTTCATAAATAATCTATACATAAGGACTCACAAATTTACAGCTTAATTGCTAGTGAACACCATTTATATATCGCTTGTTATATAAATTCATATGAAAATTGATAAAAACAAATTAAATTAATCTGGTAAAATATATCAATTTTTAAATAATAAACAATAGAAATTATAAACATACTATAGGAAGCCATGTAGTTGTTTGGCATGTTGTTGTTGTGTGTATAGCAGAAGCAGTATATCCATTGCAGGCCTTTATTTCAAAGTTCATGAAAAGTGCTTTTCTATTTTTATAACTTACAAAGCCAAAATAAACAAAGGAATCTTTGGTTGATGCTTCTCTTGTAAATAATTTGTATATTTTTTTGGTTGTGTTTGAAACTTTAATTTCTGTAAGAATTTGTAGAAGGAAAGAAAATGGAAGAAAAAAGCAGACAAAAAGTATCTATTTCATTTACTTTTCCCTTCCTCTTCTTCTTCTTCTTCTTTCTTTTCCCTCCCTTGAATCCCTACCTAAATTCAAGATTTAAGCACAATTTTAAAGTAAGAAAATAATCCCCAAAAAAAAAAAAAGAACAAAAGACATTGAAAAATGAGAAACTGTTTCATACATAAAATATACATGTCATCAAAAAGCATTAAGGAAATGATTTCATGTTTCCAAAAACAAAAACAAAAACAAAAAAAACAAAGTTCCAAATAAATGTAAACATTTAAGAATACATAATAGAAAATAATATCCAATTATACAAATATATGCATATATTAAACAGCAATTCATAGGATATGGCAGCACATTTTTGAAGAGAACCACAGATGGCACAAACCACCACCAATGCAAATTCAAACTCATGTTGGGCATGTTGTTTTTTTCAAGCATATCCAAATTATAATCCAGAAACAATTACAATGAAAACAGAAACCTACACAGTATAACACAAAACAATTCAAGATTTAAGCACAATTTTAAAGTAAGAAAATAATCCAAAAAAAAAGAACAAAAGACATTGAAAAATGAGAAACTATTTCATACATAAAATATTCATGCCATCAAAAAGCATTAAGGAAATGATTTCATGTTTCCAAAAACAAAAACAAAAAAAACAAAGTTCCAAATAAATATAAACATTTAAGAATACATAATAGAAAATAATATCCTATTATACAAATATATGCATATATTAAACAGCAATTCATAGGATATGGCAGCACATTTTTGAAGAGAACCACAGATGGCACAAACCACCACCAATGCAAATTCAAACTCATGTTGGGCATGTTGTTTTTTTCAAGCATATCCAAATTATAATCCAGAAACAATTACAATGAAAACAGAAACCTACACAGTATAACACAAAACATAAATACCGGTGAACTGTTTTTCAATTTGGAATGTAAATATTGCTGCTAAGAGTGAGAACACAGGTTTGAATACGAAGACAACAGTCGATAATGTCAAAGGTCGATTTCATACAAGTCTACCTGTCCCAATACCCTCAACCAATGGGGACCGTCACTGGGAAATGATTATGGAAGCATATCCTTTCAATCTATTGCTCTTCTCGCTCTGTGTCTTCTGCATGTGGTCCAGAACAAATGAAGGAAGATAAATGTGAAGAACAAGAGATACCAAATCAAGACACCAGAAGAATCGAACCCGAATCCATCTGCGGTTTCCATTGGTTGTAATGTTTTTGATCGGCGAAAGTTTCCACTGACTGTGGTGATGACGTGATTTCACATTCCTGCACTGTAGAGGATGATGGCGGCAGGCCAAAAATAGAAAATGAAAATAATAATGAAGGCA